ACATATTTATTGAGTTGAATGACACTGCACTTGTATGATACACGATTTTAACCATAGCTTGTATGTTTCTCCTTTGGTCCATATTGTCCCTGGTGTTTCACATACCTTACCAATAAGAAAGTGTCCTTAGGAGGGCCACAACTCCTTAGGGCACATTACACCAGACAAAACACCCATCTTTGGCTATTAGCAGGCCTTCTGGAGAAGGAGATAAATGCTCCTTCCTACTCTGGACTCCCTGGGCAGTTGATTATCAAGACTATGTAGCTTTGCTCTTGCGCAGACCATCTATCCACCACCTTGCTTATTTTAGCCCTTCCCTTCCTGTTTCTTTCCTGCCAGTGCCTAGGGGGGGCTAAGAACAAGAACCAACCCTTGTAAAGTAGACACTCCACCCAGGCAAGTGACGGCACTGATCTTCCCCATACCAGACCCAACCCAATTTCTGCCAGGCCTTTGGCCCCACACCCTTTCCAGTAACAATGGCAGCTTAGTAAAACAGAACTAAGATTGGTAGAGCACCAAGTTTCATTGTTTTCCTCAGGCCAAATTTTGTGTGAAAGAGAAAACAAAGGTAAGTGATTAAATTCTGAGTGTATATAAAACAGTTGTGATTTAAGTATTTGTTCATCCACCATTCAGCAATTTGTTGGTATAAAAACTCGCGGCTGCTATGTATTTTCTTCACATTTATCAACATTGTAATGGCTATCTGCCTTTCAGTAGCTTCTGATGTCAGATTTGCACCAAAAGATCTTTAATGGAGAGGCTGTTTACTATAGCTGTATTCAGGCTAATGAGAGACCTGCAATGTTATTAGCCTTCAACATTACCTGGAAAAAAAAGGAAAGATCACTAGGTACCACTAGCTGACGTAGCTACATAACAGGAAGGAAGGAGGAGCCGTGCACTCCAAGGAAATCGCGTATCACTTCCCCTCAGATTCCTGTTAGTGATGTGTTGCCTTATTCCTTGTCCATCGCCTACTTCATTTTTGGGCAGAGCAGTGGAGGTAAATTTTGGTGACAAAGTTCCAGACACAGGTAGAGGTCTTTGGGAACCTTAGATATTACAGAACAGGAATTTGAACAAGAGAGGAGAAAAGAGCCATGGTGGATGAAGAGTAGGAGGCTTTTACTAAGAATATCAGAGTAGTAGTGCTGAGTGGGAATAACTAAGACCAGAAGCAGCTTCACTTAATAATAACTAATTTTGCAGTGTGTGGTAAAAGCAGGCACCAAGCCAGCATCACCACTTTAGAAATAATAAATCTTTCTTCTGTGGTAGTGAAATTGTGAAAGATGCATGGTAAGGTTGCATCAGTGTGGCGAAATATCACAAAATGGGTGGGACTGTCTGGAGAAGCATCTGTGTTTGGAAAGGGATCATGCTACAAACTACAATCCAGAGCACCTGGCATGTAAAGCATAGCAGTAATCTGGGATTTAACACTGGAAATAAATGTCATCAGCCAGAGATGGCATATATGGCAGGTATTCATAACAAAATACTCCTATGGGGGTATTCGCTGGCACTTTAGCATACAGTATCCCTGTATTAGAGGAAAATAGTAACCTGAAAGCATAACGTGCTTCTGTTCTTCAAGAGCCAGTTTCACCTGTCTGTGCTGCTTCCTTACAAATTGCAGCTATGTAGCCTGTAACTGATCCTTAGGATGCTTTTTGTCATTTCAACAAAGGAATTAAAGTAAAAAGTATCTGTTAGCTATTGAGAGAAGTGGTGAAATTAGGAAGTGCTTACCTGCTACCCCCTCCTTTCCCTATTTACTTTACCCCATCTCCCAAATGGTCATGTTTTTTGCATCACCCACTGTAAATGAGATGGTGTATTTTTTCCCTAAGTACATGTATAACAGTAGCAATATTATACACAGCAGTAATAGTAGTATAACTTCATTTGGGTACTCGGACCTGATTACAATGTGGGTAAATATGTGGGAGGGGGTCTTCCCACGCATATTTACACCAAGCAATTCTCATACACCAGCAGGGTGTTGGAGAACTGGACTAAATTCTGATGCTATCTGCCCGGAGACAGCATCAGATTCTCCAAGTTAAGGCCTCCGTCCTATAAGACTGCCCTCCAACCCCTGATTCCATCTGCCGGTCACAAACCCCAGGCAGACCTACCAGCTACAGATTCCAGGCAGCCCTACCAGCTACAGATTGGAATTTCCCGTGACCTCCCCCTTGGGTTCGATTAATTTGCTAGAGCAGCTCACAGAACTCAGGAGAACACTTATATTTACCAGTTTAATAAAGGATACAAATCAACAGCCAGATGAAGAGACATAGGGCCAGGTCCCAAATAAAGTAGTTTCTATCCTTGTGGAGCTTGGGGCCTGGCTTGGTGACACAGGGAGGCATTCTGGTTCCCCAAGCATATAAGCTCTCTTCAGCCGAGCAGAGCAGAGCAAAAGTGAGCTCTTCTCACGGGTTTTGTGAGGGTTTCACTGCATAGTCATGATTAACTAAATTGGCTATTGGCTGATTCAGCCTCCAGCCCCACCTTGTGTGGGGCCAAAAGTCTCTCATTAACATGACAAAACACCTGTTTCACCTTTAAGATTCTGCAATGTTTTCAGGAACTGTGGATGAAGAACAAATGTATCTGGGAAATACATATTTGACCATATGAATGACCAAATATGTATTTCTTAAAACTCATTGTAGTCCATCCCCTGGTCTTCAAACACAGATTAATTACAGCAAAACAATCATACCCATCACAGAACTTACGTCTGGTATGGCATTTACCAATGCAAATAGGCCTAACATGGAGAAGCCAGTGCTGGAAGGAGACATATTTAAAGAGACAAGTCATTTGTCCTATAAAGCTTATGACCAGAGTTTCTCCCAGAGCAATGTAACTGGCTTGCAGGTTGTCTTTCAACCTTGTCAGGTTCCAAAACCAGAGGTGGTCATTGCAGACAGAAGGGTGTAGCTTCACCCTTCTGGGCATCTTGTATGCTCTTGCTGAGAGAGACTATTCTCTTGCTCTGAGCCTCTCTTGAGGCATTAACAAAATGTTGGATTTCTCTCATTGCATCACCCATTTATTCATCCCTTTATCCTCAACTATAATTTCTCCTTCCATTTGTCATTAATCTTTACCCAGACTTTTCCCCCCCTGTGGAAGGGACGTTAGGTTCAGCTACTGTGCTGGTCCATATTGCTGGCAGCAATACTAGTCTACCAAGTGTCTTCCCCTCAGTCCACTCCCACTCATGTAAGGTAGGTTACACAGGTGCAAAGCTAGCTAGCTGTCCTGGCCACTAAGCAGCACAGCTGAGCTCACTGTCAGCCCCAACTTGGCTAGGTGGGGTGAAGACCCTTCGGAATTCTGGCATAAAGGTTTGAGGGTAAGGTTACAGTTTCTTGCTTGGTAATCTTCCCTGCTTCTGGCATCCATAGTTGGAGACCTGGTCCTAGGACAACTGCATCCGGTAGAAACAAAGAAAGTTGCGGTGATGTGGGCAAGAACTGTATAGTCACACCAGCGTCCTACCCCACACCCTCTTCCCCAGAACCCCCAGAAAAAGAGAAATCTATCCAGTGGGGACCCTCCCTTAATCCCCCCTCAATTTGTGTGAGCACACGCTCCTGAAGGCATGTAAACCAGCCCCTCATGCCTTTATCTCCTCCTGTTTTAAACAGCAAATGTTTTCAGCTGCTCATTCTAATTTTCTATTAAACCATTGCTCTTAGGATGATATGCAACATGGTATGTCCATCTGATATGTCTCTTGGCCCAGTTGGACACCATGGGCTAAGTGTGTCCCTTGGTCTGAAGAGATGTAATTTGGTGGTCCAAATTGGTACAGTATCTTCTGTTCCAATCCTTCAACTGTATTGTGAGCATTCGCAGCTACCACCAGGTATGCAAAGCCCAGTCCAGAATAAGTTTCTATTCCAGTTAGGACCTATTTATATAGCCCCCAGGGGTACTAGTGTTGATCCATGTAATCCACCTGCCGGCTATGTACAGGGCCTTTCCACCCAGGGAAATTTTCCCCATAGCCAGCTGCAGTCTTTCTCTCTTGTTGACAGAAGTTCTTGGAATTGTGCCTCATAGAGTGCAAAAGGAGTATGTCTAGATTCAGCCCATCTGCATTGCTGCAGCTCCCCTATGTCCACTCATTTCATGGACCTAGGTGGCCATCTTGAGAGAATGCACCAACAGGTCCACTTGGTGGTTCCAATCACCTTCTGATCCTGGAAGGGGGTTCTACTGATGGGCATTGACATGTCCTACTTTAATGCATCCCTTAAAATTCCCATAGTGATTTCCATAGGGCTGCACCACACACAGGCATATAAGTCCAGTTTCCATTGCCCATTTACCCGATCACACAGCCAGGCCATTAACTACAGCCCACAAGTCAGTAAAAATCCAAATACAAGGGCTTTTATCATTGTTCAATTCTTTTGTCACTGCCCTTGGGTGGGGGTCCAGGTCTCAATGTGACATCTGTTTCACCTTTTAAGACTGCAGTGTTTTCAGAAACTGGATGAAGACCAGATGAACTTGGGAAATATATATTTGGTCATATGAACGACCAACTGTAATTCTTGTAACTCATTGTATCACGCCCACCAATCTGGAGAGATTCTATCGGTAAACCAAGATGGCTGCACATAAATGCCTTTGTTTTTCCTTAGCTGATAGGTGTTATCTTTGCCTAGAAACTGAAGCCCTACCAAATTTTCATTAGAGGGGGGTAAAACCTTAAGACATACAGCCTTCCAATTAACACCTCCACTGATTAAAGTTGACAAGACCTAGATGTTTATGTGAACTACTGCAACCTTGTGTCAATGAAAAGACCCACAGGAAAAATTACTGGGAAAATTATGCAAGTATAAAGTAGTTCATTTTCTGTAAGAATTGTAACTTTACTTCTTAAAGTACAATGGAAATATCTCAAGCAATATGCTTTGGGAATTTGTTCTTAAATGATTATTGATTTCTCATTGAAGGAAAAACTATCCAACGATTCAGATATGGCGGAAATCAAGTCAATGTTCCGGGAAGTTCTTCCTAAACAAGGTATCTAAATCACAGATACTTAGGTCACACAATATTATAGGGATCTAAAAAGTTACAGGCAGTGTCACATAGCAGGCTCAATAGCTGAATATCTGAAACTATTTTATGTCCTATGTGCCACATTTACTGTCCACTTTTAGTATACTTTTTTCACGAGTAGGTTGTGAAGGAGTAATCCATTTTTTTTTCCAGTGAAAGGGTGACAAATGAAGCAGTTTCTTAAGCCTAGAAATCCTATTATACTCAAGACTGCAGATTACAGTATGAAATTTTCAGTGAAAAGCTGAAGGTCTAAATACTCAGTAACTTGAATATCACATTAAATTCACACCTTATTTTTATGGACTGTATTTCTCCCAATTTTTTTTCAAATTAAGCATTTGACACAAAAAGTTGTGGTACCTCATTAACTTGGACCCTTAGGTGGAAAGTTCAAAACTTGTCTTCATGAAGTATTAAATATTGCTTTTGTTTTTTTATATTGAAGAAATGTTGCAGGGGTAAATAGAACAAGAAATTTTCACTGACAATGGATTAAGTTTTTAGACTTTCATTCTAGCTGCAAATCCAAACCACCAAAAAACTGGGTTATCTCACTCAAACTTATTTCTTTTTAAATTTAGGGCAGGTGTCTGTGGAAGATATAACCACAATGGTGCTATGTAAACCCAAACTTTTACCCTTAAAATCTCTGACTCTGGAAAAACTGGAGAAGATGCAGCAAGCAGCCCAGGATACAATTCACCAACAAGAAATGGCAGAGAAGAAACAACAGCAAATAACTCAGTGAATGATAATTACCATTTCTATGTAACACCCTATTAACAATAGCAAGAAAATTTGCATCTGTATGCTGATAGTATATGTTAATAGAACTGATAAATGTTCATAATATAAAAATACCCGACTGAAATATGTATTGTAAATTTAAACAGTCTGGTTTGTGTTGAACATAAGTAATTAAACTTTGAATCCAAAATTTTTTTTTAACCCAAGTTTTTAGAATTGGAAATTATTTTTCACCATTCCTATCAGTTAATTTAAAAATACCCGACTGAAATATGTGAATCTGGTTTGTGTTGAACTTAATTAAACTGAACCCAAATTTTTTTTTAACCCAAGTTTTTAGAATTAGAAATTACTTTTCACCGTTCCTATCAGTTTTATAGATAATATTCTTAGGCACAAGAAACCAAATGCAACTTTTATATTCAAAGAATCTTTACATATTTAAAACTTAATTTGATACATTCTAATATTGTGTACATGTTCAGCTTTTACATTATCTAATTTTAAAACATTTTTATGAATTTTATGTCATGTTTTAAGACTAACTGATCCTACCAGTAATGACAAACTGCATTTCTTAAATTTGATTTTTAAGAAACCCTCAGTAGTTCCTTGAGCTTCTAACAATACTGATTTTAAGGACTCAAGAATAATCTGGCTACTTTTACCTTGCAGGAATCAAGGTAAAATCTCAAAATGGAAAGTAACATGGACTTGAAAGAGTCCATGAGATAAATATGAACATTAAACTTGGAGTTTTAGTTATAAAAGACTGTACCTAAGCCTGTAATAGGTATATTCCTAAGAACACGTTTGTAAATTCTGAATATAATTTTTGGTTGGTTTGCTGTAATCAGTAATTGAAAATTTAAATTAGCATAGACCTTGAGGCCTCTTTACTGAGTAATCAGGCTCTGAAAAAAAGGTTAGAAATGTGATCATTCTTTAGATAACTTACTTGTTGTAGTGAACTATTTTCTCAAACACTGGGTAAATGTTACTCTTTGAAAAATGGTTTTTTATAACAAACATTACTTTGTAATTGACTTAAGAATGATGAAAGGTATATATATATATATTTTAAATTTCTTTAAACTCTAGATACAAGTGTGCATGCAATTTCCCAATATTTAAAGAATTTATTTACTATTCTATTTTTCATTTAAAAGTTTGCGAGAAACAAAGTTTAAATTCACTAGGTTCACATACGTTCCCTTTTATGACTTAAAATCTGCTGTGTGAAATAAGTTTTTAAAAGACCTAAAATAAATGAATTCCAAATAATCAACACTGCTTCACATGTTTTATTTTGTCATATGTTCATCTAGAACCAGGTTCATTTTTCCAGTTTTGTAGAAAAATAGATGTTCCAGCCACCATTTACTTAACTGTCTAGTCTTTAAGACCAATCAGTATGTTCCCTGGAAAGATTAGTGAGTCTCATGACTAACTCGTTTTCTTAAAATTCTTTAAGAAATAGCTTTCTGTTTACTCCCAAAGCACAGTATTTCAACAGCAGCAGCCAACGTGGGGTTTTAGCAGCTTAACTTTAACCCCCTAAATAAAGCTTTGTATAAACCAGTGATTTTACTACAAAAACACTGTCCTTGAAAGAAAGGAGTGGCAGTCAGACATCAATGCAAAACTTGGAATGATTAGGTCATAAACATGGCATTTACAAAATATTCCACTTAAGTGGTTACTTTTCTGTCCCTCCTTTATACCCTCAATAAAAGAAAAAGAAAAAAGAAAGCACTTCCTTTAAAAATTCCCCTTACTTATTAAGATTATAAAATTTCAGAAATGCCTTGTACCCAAAACAAGTGCCTTAAGGAAAAAAAATCCTGTGCTAACAACTCTTACAATTCAGATACATGTATTTTTTTTATAACATCTAGACTGCAAGAGTTCTTATAGTCAGTAGCTCTCCAGTTTAAGACGACCTCCATCTCCTTCACTTACAAAACGTTTTCTTCCTCTGTAATGGAAAGAACACAAATGTGAAAACATAAGAAATTTTGACTATAGTCAATTTAGTATTTAAAACCTGGTATTTTTTGGTTATTAAGTTTTTAAGGATTTTATTGTCATTTTAAAAAGTCAGCCTGCCTCTCTTTTGAAAAAGAATTTCTTTTCATGCAATATATCCTAGGATCTAACATATTAAATGAACTGCTAATCTCCACAGTCTTTAGTTAAATAAAAGCTCAATTACTGAAATAAGTTCATTGTCCAAATGGAATCATATAAAAAAATTAAAATATAAGACAAACATTACACTATTCAGAATTTTTACATTTATTTCTATGTCATATTATTTGAAAGCTAAACACTGAGCCAAATAAGAAATACCAACATGATTTGGAATTACGCAAATTAGCACTATAGACGCTTTCAAAATACCTGTTTAAATTTTTTTTCAGATGTAGAAAAGCTATAACCCAAATGTAGAAAAACAGATGAGAATCCAGTTAATTCCAGTCTATATCCTATTTTGGGATTCCTCCAAAAAATCACACACATACACAACACACTTTCTAGTGAGGTAAAATCCAACTAGCCCCAATCACCCATTCTATGTAGGAAAAAGAAAGCTATGTAAAGTACAAGAATTAGCCTAAATCTTTGAAGCCAAAAAATGTGGATACATCTTTGGCCTCTACCATGTGTGACTTTAAAAAAGGTACATTACACCTCCCTAAGCCTCAATGTTCTCATCTGATTGGTAATAATATCTACTCTGAAATAATATTTAAACTACTTAGAGCCCGGTACACAGAACTGCTATACATACTAGTTTTATTTCAGTGAACTGGGGCTTCATGAGGTAGTCTTGTACAGATTTACAAGGGGACAAAATAAGCTTTGCCCTTGTTTTTCCATAGGTGATTTCACTCTTGAGTGACTTCAGGGAAGTTACTATTATTTAACTGACAAAGCTGGAATGAAAAAAAATTAGCTTAGCCTCCCTAAGCATCTCAACCAGTGTTTTATGTTGAAGAAGTAATAAATAAAGTACCTTGAAGGACAAAGATCTCTGAGTTGTTTGGAAATTATTCCAGCCTGAAAACATTCTTCTACAAATCGCTCAAGCACAGAGTATGAACGTGGGACATCCAGATTAATGTCTGGAATTTCATTGTAAATTCTTTCATAACCCTAAAACAATGGAATTATATACAGAACTGTTAGCTGACATAAAATATGTAATGCCATACAACTTCACTGTTATCAAGCTATATTTAAGGCCAAGTGTTCATATAATTAGACTGAAGTCAGATCTGAACCTTGAAAAGTACAGGTAGTAGGTACATCTGTTACAGAATGTTTTCCTTAAAACTCTTCTCTCAAAAGAGCTTCAGGCATGTATCAGATGGTGGACACATTTCTTCCCTATCTACTTATCTATATATATTCAGTACATTTTTTTAAAAGGAGAACCTCACCATTTTAATGCATACAGTTTTAAATAGGAATACATTAACTACTTTATAATTTGTTACGTTTCCACATGTAAAATAGAAATTATATCTTAAAAACAGAGCTCGAGGAAGAAAAAAAACACACAATCACATTTTGTAAAATACAGGTTAAAAAAAAAACACTAAAGTGTTACTTCCAGAAGGGCTGCAAGAGGGTCAAACATTACCATAAAAAAAAAGGTATACTACTACTGAACATACCTAAAAAAATAATTTGATTGACAATTTCTAATCTTTATTCAATCATATATTTAAGGCCTAACTCTAAAAATTGCTCAAAATAATGTTATACTTACTCTTTTCATTTGGTCTAGAGTAATGGTAGATGATTTCCAAAGGGATTTTAATAAATCCAAAATCATCCTAAATGTACTTTCTCCAGTTGACTCTAAAACCATTACAATGGCCTAAAAATTGAAGAGTGAATCCATGAATGAATTTTTGGTCATTAATTCATATAAGAAACTGCTCCTAAAATACATCCGAACCCTTTCCTCTAATATGTAACTATAATCATTACAAAAATTAAAACTTTCTCCCTTAATAATAAAATTTTTAAAAAGGAAAAAATGATGTATGTTATCAAAGTACCATTAAGTCACTATGGTGCAAAAAGGAACACTTAATAATTCTCTTTGGAATGTCAAAGTAACCTTACTTCATATACAAGCTCATGGTGAAAATGAGGTACTTCCAGTTCCTTAAGGCAATGTTCAGCTTCAGATATGTCTCCAGAGAGTAAATACTCTTTAAGCAGCATATCAATCTGTTAGATTTAAAAATCAAAATGTGTTATAATTCCAGGTTTTTTAAAAAACTGTGCTATGCCTAAATGATTTCATATTGTACGATGAAATAACAAGTCACCAACAACTAAGAATATATAGACATGACACCATTCTAATAATTTTTTCATAAGTAAATCCTCAATTTTTTTATAGTTCATAATTGTGAAGAAAATGTAGTTCTTCCTTGTATGTTGATCAATGAAGATCTACGAACAGACTTTAAGATGTACAAGGCCTGAGTTGTGGCCATGCTTGCTCCAATGCTTCATGCAGAACAAGGGATCTAAATACCACCAGAGGGCACTAACTGAAAGTCTCAAAATGAAGTTTCAAAGTGGCACATTAACTTCCACCAGGACGTCCTTAATTGTGCACTGGAACCCAAAAAAGGAGTGATGATAATACAGCTTTACTAAACAAGGCAAAGATTCCCATATAATTTATCTTTTCTGTACAACTGAAGATTCAAAACCCATTATCTGAAATGCTCATCAGTAATTCAGCTTCCAGTTATAGTTAAAAAGTCAAGTCTTGACTTTCCTCTCCAAATTTTGTACAGTAACATCTATGACACCAGAGAAAAGGGAGACAAGTTTTTCAGCACAAGAATTTCAACTAGGTATATTCTTCCCTATACAGTGCCTATTAAAGTGACCTCTGCACCTGTAGATACTCCATGAATGTTGGCTGATTGGATAAAATAATCTCATTTAAGTATCTTCTAACTTCTACAACATTTTCATAAAAGGTGAAATAAAATTTGATCAATAGACTACATCCTGATAATTCCTATTAGCATGCTTTTGTAATTATTTAAAGCATGGCATTTGAATGTCTTTTCACTTTATAAATTAATTCTATTTAATAATGTCACTTAGTTTTTTAACTTTGTTTTGTAAAACATTTAAATGTTTCCTATCAGGTTCCATGCTTTTTTAAGATTAAATTATAAATACATGTATACATTTCTAAAAGTCCTCTTTGTCCATCTTATCACTCCATGTGAAAGTAAATGTATATGCAACTAATGTCAACCTCAAACTTACATATTGGTAGTTTTATTTCTATTTTTATCTTTATCATATTTTTGTTCAGATGATTCACAGACCATAATTTTGGACTTTCTCAAAATATTAATTTTTAAATTAATGGTTTACATGGGAGTTTTACCATCTAAACGCTGTTAAGACTTCCAATCTATAAACATGGGATATTTTCTCTACTTAAGTCTTTAATTTTTTCAACAATGCTTTGCAGTTCTCAGTGTATAAAACTTCCACTTTTGCAACCTTGCTGAATTCATTTACTAGTTAGTAGTTTGGGCTTTGTTTTGTCTTTTTGTGCATTCATTTGGATGTTCTGTTTACAAATCACATCATCTGGGAATAGAGGTAGTTTTACTTCTTCCTTTCCAATTCAGATGGCTTTTATTTCATTTTCTTGCCAGAATGCCCTGTTATCTTGACTGTTTTTACACTCAATTTTTCTAATAATTTTTTTAAAACCAGAGATTATAATTACGACATTACAAACAATTCATCTACCTTAATACATATAAAAGTAAAAATAGTCAAAGCTCTAATTATATTTTGAGCTCCTTAACATCAAACTAGAGATCCATAGCATTATAAGATTTATTAAATATCAAAACTATAGTCACATGAAGATATACTCAAAAATCAGAAGCACATGTAAATCTTATTTTCTTAAAGATCAGAAAATAAGGAGATGAAGTACTTCTTTTTGTTTCTTGTTATAGACTACCAATTTACTACAAGAAAAAATCCCTTGAGAATAAATCTAGCATTTTAATACAGTGAATCAATTACTTTGTCTTTTAAAGCATTCATTCATACAGGTAGTGAATTTCCTTATAAAAACCTGCCAGCAGTGTTCATAAGTCATAAAACCCGAGACTATCCAGTTTCAAATTG